AAAACAAAACAAAAAAAAAGCCCCCACCACACACAAAATAAAAAAAAAGACCAGACTAAAAACCAACTAGGGTGTGCCAAAGGGAACAGGGAGTTCCAACCACCTCCCAGTGCGATCCAACGTACTCAACTCTCATAGGTTTCTTTGAAAAGACTTTGACTCAGTCCTACACAAATACTTCTGAAGCACTGTAGCTGAATAGTTCTGCAAAATACTGAGTAATAAGCAAATTGAACTGTGTATTTATAAATTAAAGCGCTGCTAATTTGAGCCCTTAGGCAGCAGGGACCAGAAAAAGAGAATCAAAATCACATCCTTTCTTTTCTTTTAAATATAAAAAGCCTTCTTGGGCCTACATATGTTTGTAGTTGGCTAATTTACCCAAAAGAATTTCTCTTTTACCCTGGGGGGGGAGTGGGGAGGAGAATCTGCAATTACAGGGTTATCTACTGCAAGAATGCACATAGAATTTTCTTTCTTTATCCTACATATGATGCAAGAGGAACAACCTCAAGAAAAGGCACTAGAAATTCTCCATAAACCACATCAGGAATAACTGTAAAGATCTGCTGAAAGGTCTTAAGTGTTCCTGAATCTGTCCTTTACCCCATCTCCCTGTAGGACTGTGCAGTTCATCATACAAGCTCAAACCATTTCAGAGGAGCTGAGGGCAAATTAAGATGGGGGGTGGGGTGGGGTTGTGGGGTGTGCACAGGTCCTTCCTCCCCCATGATTTCCCAGTGAATGCTTTTCACTGTTTGCTGCTGAGAAGAGACTATTAAAACTGAGAGATTAGACTTCAGACCTTTCAAATCTTACTACTAATTTAAGAGTCATAATTTCTTCTCTCACCTTTCCCCCCACTATCTTCTAGTCCAAATCATCTCTTTCCCTTCCCTGTACCACAGTGAAATAAAGAAAACAATACGTAAGCACAGCACTTCTTTAAAAAAAAATATCATTTTTCTTCTGTCTTCTCAAGGCTTCTGAGCTCTTGGGACTCCTTTTATTTGCTGAGGTTGTAATAAGCTTTTTACAAAAGCTCACAAGCTGATTACAAGCTTGACATGGGAATATTCAATCCCATCCGAGTAGCCTGGAGAGCTCTGCCTGAATTTTCAGACATGCTCTTTTGTTAAACAATTTTTTCCTCTTTGGAAGTTTTCAAGCAAAGCAATTTAAACCTGGGATTTGGCCGAGAAGAACCTTTTCAGCATGGGACGTACTCATGTTTAAGAATTCTTCCTGGCTTCCCCTGCTTTTTCACCATTATTCATGGACTAAAAGAGTCCAAACAATTTCTTCTCATTGCCTTTTAGGGTTAAACAGGAAGGCCATGTGCCAGCCGCTTCTCACACCAGGACCCCCTGCCTCATGCAATCCCATACAGCTGGGGGCACATACTCAGCGTGGTCCAAACGCAAGTCTCACACATCACATCTCTGATAATTTAGAAGGCCTGCCTTCAACACAGCCCAAAAAGATTTGTCTGGCTGGCCAGCTCCCATTAGCCAAGGCAGGCTTGTCGTCCTCTGCCTGCTATGGGACAAACCTCATTTAAAAAATCCTTCACCAAAAGATTGAAGTAAACACCTTCCACTCAACCTGAAACAGGCTCCAAGCTGCTGCCAGAGTTTGCCCAGTTCATGCAGGTCTAAAAATAAGCCTGATGTGGGAACCAAAAGGTGGCCAGAAAAGATGCTACCCACTTCATTCCTTATGTGTTATTTGTTACAGAAACCATAACCGCACTGCTCTGAAGCTCAAAAAGAGTCTTTGATCTTTATCAACACTAGGGAAAATTTCACTTTTAGAATTTGCCTTCAGATTGAGTCAGTAAAAATAGGCCACAGACCTTAAGGGCCTGCACTGCAACTTAATGATGGTTTTAATGAAGTTTTCAACTGGACCAGTAAAGCACTACAAGGCTGTGATTTTTACTCACACTATGGGAATCTAAAGATCTACCTCACATTCCCAGGGTATTACACTTTTTTTTTTTTTTTTTAAATGAAGGATCATCCCCTTGGGACTCTACTTATGTTTCTGAATTGTATCTGGTGAATGCACAAGACCAAAGCACTCCCCTTTCTGCTGCATTTAATGTGCCTAGAAGAGCTGGGTGCCCTTGGAAGAGGCAGCAAAGAGGTTGTCCTGGCTCCACACCATATCTAGGTTCAAACATGGGGGAGAAAGATTCAACATCCCTTGAGTGAAAAGGTGCTGTCAGAGGAATTACACTCCTTATTACATCCAGTGCTGAAGTATTTGCAATGATTATAGTTACGCATCTTGTGACTCTTGAAATGGGGAGTATGTTCCAACACTTCTTTCCCCAAAAGCCTTCCCTGTCCTCACAACTAAATACACAAATAACATTCGCAGTGTAAAGTCTGTTTTAAGTTGCTTGTAGCTTTCAAAATACTCCCCTTATGGGCTGAAATGTTCTAAGCTTGATCTCAGCCCAGAGGCGACTTTTATTCCCCACCTCCAGTCACCAGCTTAGAAACATGTATTTGGTTACCCTTCAACAGTGGGAAAGTGAGAAAATAGATGGTTTGGTGGTTTAAGACTTTTCCTTTCACGGGTATTCAGAGACTGCCTCAGGGAATAGAAGGAAAGGGGAAGCACAGGAGCAGCAGTGTAGAAAGAAACAAAACATGAGATGAGAGCACTTCATGTAGGCACTGAGGGAATAGCAAGGTTGGTCCAGTTGTAATCAATTAAGTAACTTCCTAGACAATGTAAAACAACTCTACAAAACTGGACCTTACAACTCCAGAGAAAAAAAAAAAAGAATTTTCTGGGCTCAGCCAGACTCAGGCTGCAAAGTGCCAGTTCTTTTAGAGTTCCAGTTCTTGGTTGGGAAGCAGAAAGATCTTTGTGTATATATCCATATAAAATTTGGTATCTCTGATCTCTGTCATACTGTTACCAAAAAAGAAGTGTGACTAAGAAAGCTTGAATGTTACATTAGTATGGCTATCCAGTCCTCTCAGCCTCAAGTCTCTTAGGGTTATTTTCTTTTCACAGGTCGTCTTTTATTTCATGCCCATCATAGGTGGCTATTTTAAGGCGCTATAGAGAGGTGCTGAATGCTGATAAGGCAAATCCTGTATCCCTTAATCCACTGCTAAATCACTCTGCCAGCCTTCAAGGGTACCAGACAGATGGAGTGCACTAGGAAACTGCCCACAGGCTGGTTACTTCAACCCTAGCTCATCTTTAATCCAGAAAGGTTTTGTTCTGGTATTTTAATCATTGATTGACTGGGAACTTTCTTCCATGCTGGGTTAGGTAAAATATCCATGTCAGAGGTACTGGGGAATTTGTGAGGCTGTAGATCATAAGAGTGGTGTGAGACAGGATGCGTCTCAAGGGAACCAAGGAAGCCATAAGGAATGTAAAAAGTCACAGGGTTAAAGCCACATTAAGACAGCTGTTATGTTAATGAGAGTTCTGCTTTTCTTCTAGCCGTGGGTCATTGATTTAGAAAAACACAGACAAGATCTTTTTCATTTTATCATATTTTCCCACTGAAGCTAACATAGCCCAAGACATCATATTCTAGATCACATTTGTCTTGATAACAAAAGTTGTGTAGGAAGTTATCTTTGTTATATTTGTGTGTGGACGATTCCCAGGGCCTGATTTGGTCTTACCTGGCCCAGGTCTATATATGAAGCTGTTTTTCAAGTATTTTATTTAGTAAACATGTAAAGAAGAGAGTCATGCACCTCTGCCTTCCAGACAGATTCATCCATACATCTGATTTTCTCTCACAGTTATAACACTTAGAAAAATGTGGTGTGAAGTCTTCTGCAAAAACATTTAGCAGGTAAAACTGTAAAAGTCCGGACCTTAAAAGACAGATACTGAATAACACAGCCATGCTGCAATAGATGTGCTTGTCTTAAAAAGTCAGAAGGATCTTTTGTATTGCTTATTTCAGTTTGAAGAGTCTGAATGCCTCAGACAGCTTCAGATGTCAAAATATAAAAACAGATTTTCATCACAGCAGTCAAATTCACCTGTATCCTTGGCTAGATCACAAGTTACCACTCATTTCTCTTCCTTGGTTAGATCACAAGCTTGTCACCCAACCGCACATTTGCTTATGAACACTATCGAGTAATGAAAGAGCAGCAGAGGATTCTGCCTGCAGCATTAAACATTTCACAGGACATTCTTCTTTGCCATGAAACAGAGTAAGTCCTAGTCTGAACCTGAACTCTAGGAAGCAGTTTATTCCAGAATTATTTGGCTGCTCTTTGCCCAGTTTTGGGAATCTGAAAATCCTGGTTCATGCTTTTTTTTTTTTTTTTTTTTTTTTTAAATTTAAATCAACACAACGGTTTACTCCTCCAGCATGTTAGGTTGTTTTAGACATTCCAGATCTACATGAAGTTGTGAAGACCTAACAGTTATTTGGAGGGTTATTCTCTTATGAACTAAACGGACAGTGGGGAGGGATAAAAGAGATGTTACAAGCTTTACATCAAGTCGACTTCAAAACCTAACCTAAAAGTAAATGGTTAATATTGCACCAGTAACCTTGCTCACTTGCATGGCTCTACAGACACACTGTCCTTTTTAAAATGCTTTTTTCTCCTCTGTTAATGCCTGAAAGACTCAAATTACAGATTAAATCAGTTAAATAACTATAAACTGGCACAACAGCTGACCTGATTACATGCAGAGTACTGTCAAATGCATAAAGCAAACAAACTGGGATAACAGACCTTCTTCTCCAAAGGCTCAGTACTGTATTCATGGTAGGTATGGAACACTTGGGAAAACACAACATTTTTTCAAAACAGTTGTCTTAAACAGTTGGAAGACCAATGTCCATGTACAGATGCAAAAACCCCTATGGTTGTAAACTAGGTAGCTTCTCACATTTTCCTTCTACCCCAGAGTAGGATCACATGAGTATATAAAAGGACCAACATGCTAACAGAAAAGGAATTCTCTTTGTTAGGCAGCTTTTAAATACATACCTGGACACGAGCCTCTGTGAGTTTGGCTCTTTGTGCAAGTTCTTCCCTAGTATAAATATCAGGGTAGTGTGTCCTCTCAAAAGCTCTTTCCAACTCTTCCAGTTGCTCTGCTGTGAAAGTTGTCCTGCTGCGACGCTGCTTTCTTTTTAAAGGCAAATCTGGTTCAGAATCGATGTCAGAGCCTTCATCAGACTGGGGTGCTGCTGCTCAAAAAAAAAGAACCCAAAGACATACAAAAATTAGTTTTAGTTGAAGGGGAAAAAAAAGCAAAATATTGGATCAATCGATTATATCCTCTTCTATGGAAAAGCTGCTTTTTCCCCGTGACTCAGAACTGACTTGGCAAACTTCAACAAAGCAAAAAAGTGAGAAAGAAATTAGAGTTAAAAGTTACATTGTACACATGTGCTCAAACAAATAAAGAATTGTCAAAAGTTCAACTATGAGTTTATCACCTTTTCCTCGCCCAAGAATATTTAAGGACCTCTGGAAATCTTTTTGAGTAAATGAATGACTCAATTCCTTTGTTTTAACTCCTCTAGCAGTTTGCAAGTGTTTTAAAAACTTGAACAGTACTGCTCAGTCCTAAGCAATCAGACAAGCAATACAGCCTTCTTCCTTTCCCTAAACTAGCGTACAGATACAAATATTTGTCACACCAGTGTGCATGTTGGAACTTAAAACATTGCGACTCTATAGACACATGTCCATGAGACCTTCCCTAGGGATCCATCACTTAGACCTTATTGCTGAAAAGGTTACAGAAGTGATTACAAAGGTATGGGGAGTGCTACTTAAGAAATTAATCCTCATATACAATCAAATATTTACTTCATGTTAAATGTATTATTTGCCCTACAGGCTGAACAGTAATTACACTTTTGTGTTATTATATCTCAGCACATTTAAATATTCCCCCTCATTTGCAACTTACTTGCCTGTCTTAGGACCACCTGACAACCTTAGGACAGGCCACACAAGTGTTAATATAAAAACATTTTAAAAATAAAATTAGATGCATGTTGCACAGAGAAGTCCTGTAAGAATAGCTCTGAGCAATAATCTGATTTGACTCTTCCAGTTACTAAAGCAAGGAGATTCCAGCATATCTGATGACCAGAGCTGAAATACACAGTGGGCATGCTTCCTTCACCTAAGGTTTCATTATTATTCCTCCCAACCTGGGGAAATTTTCCAGCACAGAGCACGGGTACACGCAGATGTGCTGATGCTCAGCCTCCAGGCAGCAGTCCAGGACGTGACTCCAAAACAGCCAGACTGTGTTGGACCAAAGGCCCCTCGTATCACGTCCCAAGTCAGTACTTAAGGAAAGTTGGCAAGAAACAGACCACGTACAGCATGTCCATGACCCAGGAATAGGCTACCAACTCTTGTGATCAGTAGTTTAAAGAGAAATCAGAACCAAAACTCTGTGGGTTTCATGGACGTGGCAAGAGTGAGACCACACACAGACAACCAGGCCCCTGGCATCACTGCTTGCTTCCACTGTGCTCTCTGGCAACCAAGTGAGCTCCAGCTGCAGCCCAGCCACAGCTGAACCCATAGCTATCGCTGTGAAGGCAGCAAAGCCTCTTCCAGTATTCGACCAAGTTATCTTTCTCCAACAAACAGTAATGAAAGGAAAAAGTAGACTTCCAAAGCCAGTCTTCACTTGCATCAGCTGCTGTCCCAGGCACCAAGCATTCCTTCTTGCCTGAGTCTTCAAGGGAAACCACCTAAAGAGGGCAGACACTCCCCAGTGATGATGAAACTGCTTATTCAGTTGAAATACAAGCATTGCTTCTACTTCAATAATGTCAAATAAATTATTGATATGGACATTGATTTAAAATAATCTTCTTAATGTGATTTATTTGGAAGTAACTAAGAACATGAAGCCAAAAAGAAATCACTGTTTTCAAGCTCCAACTGAAACCCCCCACCATGTTCATTTCTAGCTATCTTTCATTTCCAATTTCACTCAAGCTGTTTGAGCTAATAAATACACCTAATCTGTTGTTTAGTCTTACATGAGAAAGACTAAGTGTTTTTTCAGACAATTCAGCTGAAGAGTTTATTAATTTCTGCATACCAAAAAAGAACAGTTACTGCTACACCAGAGGCTCTTATGCGAGAAAGCTATCTCCATTGTCCAGATACCATCAATATCTTGGACCCAACCAACACACACAGGACATCAGGAGAAACTCCCATAGAGTTCAGCATCAATATACTGTGAAAACATCCAAGTCACAGAGTCTCTTATTTGCATGGAAGTTTTGCCCCAAGTAAAACTGGATTAAGTTGTTCCAGCTCCTGAGATTATCGTCCTCAAGAACAAAGGGGAATCAGCACAAATATCCTATCCCAAACAGTTCAAGTTCCTTCCTTATTAGACAGGCAATCTAGGGTATCCCAAAATGAACATAACACATTGTCTGAATTAGTGACAAACTCCAGATCTTCTCAGCTGGGGTCCCAAGTGACACCTGCCTTCCTCAGCAACTGCCAAGTTACAACCCTCCAGAACAGCTACATGCTGCTGTGCTCAAGAAAAAAAGAAACATAGGATATTTTAAATATTGTTTCCCTATGTTAGCCTCAGATACAAATCACCCACCTTAAGAACAACTAGCACTGACAAGCTAGCTAGACTAGTGGAGGAGAGCACACCAGCCATGCTAACAGGGTCATATTGACTAGCATTGCACTCTGACCATACCTACCACTGATGTGGTAGGATCTGAAAGAGAACTCAGGAAGGTCCCTTTTGGAGAAAACTTCTCTGGCAAAAGTTGACTTTGATTGTGTACAGTGAGAATTAAAAAAAAAAAAAGTCAGATATCTAGATCTCAGGAACTCACAGTACTCTCTCTCTGACTCCACACATACGTATGGAACTTGAAACATCTACATATACACCTATAAAAAGTCAGCTTAAACCATGCAGTTAAAAGTGGTTTATCACTAAATTTATGAAGTGAATTCCCTCACCTACTGAGTGGGAAGTATCGGGACACCTATAATGATCTTTCTAAAAATGTTTTAGAAAGACTTAGAAAAATCTTGTGATGTTTCCCTGCACCTTGCATTCACGCAGCAATGAGACGACAGAACTGAAACACTGACTTAACTGAATTTTCATTCTAGCTTTATGTTTCATCAAGCAGTATATGAAAGGCAGAGGTAAACCAGTCAGAAAAAAATGAACTATCTAAAAGTCTAGGACAGTATGTCTAATCAGTGCAAATATTTAGGGAGAAAGCAATAAATTAAAGTAAGGAGAAAATGTGTATCAGAAGAAATGGCTTTCACATCTATCTGATTTCATTGATGTTATCCTTTGCCAGGCTTGGCTGCTATGTGCAGCTTTACTGAAAACATTAAGTTCCTTTGTCTTTTCTGATCTACAATATTAAAATCAGACAAATATGATCTTAAATGATAGCTACATGTCTGTACTATAAACTACACTTTTAATTTCTTACAAAGTTTTATTAAATATTATTAGTTTCAATGAAGTTTTTTTTTTTTCCTATTAAAATACCATTATTAGCCTTTTATATAAGTGAGAAGCCAATCAGAGTATTGTCTAAGCACATAAACTGGACACACCTCAGCCTTTAAAAAAAACATTTTTGATTATATATAGCTCAATAGCTACTGTGTTTTGCTAAGCAGTAACTCACTAATAGATTCACTGACTTCCATGATATAAAAAGATACTATATTAAGCACAGATAAAAGTGGTCAGATTTTAGCTGGATTATTTCTATTTCCATCACCTCCATAGACACACAACACACATATCACTAACCTTTACAGTTGTCCTAATGATCTTAGCTATAAACAGGAGAAAGTAGACAACTTACCAGCACCCTGGGAGACCCCCAGCCAGACCCCTTGGGACCACCAGTACCCCACTTACTGCACAGATCAAAATGGGAGAGGCAGCCAAAAGCACTGCCAGTAGCTGAGCCATGAAGTTTAATTAAAGAAGGAAATACAGAATTAAAGAGCAATTATTTGTCCCTTAACCTGTTGTGACCCATCTGGTGGCCTGAGGAAACACTGCATGCAAGTTATCACCGTGATATGCAAAAAAACACTGCCCACTGTCGTAGGCATTTGGTCACCTGGAGCTCTGCAACCATCCCTTTTCCAAACACTGTAAATACACACGTCAGTGCAAAACCGAACAACAAAATGACACACAAGAGGTCATTCTGTGGGTTGTTCTTCCTCTCAGCAAGACATTTCATTTGAATAATTAAATAACAAAAACATGACAACCATTTAAACCCCATATATTACAGCTGCAGCACAGCGCACCTGACAAATGCAGGCAGAGCAGTTATCTATCTTTCTGCAACCTGCAAAGGCTCAACTTCTCTGACAATCTTTCAGTCACTGTGAAATTTTTAAATAAAATACTACAGAGCCTGTTCCTCTAAGTTTAACAGCCTGGAGTCAGCCCTAGACAAATTCTGTCTAGCCATGGATCTCACTGAAAGGACACCAAAAAAACCCAATATACCAATGGCTAGGGAGGGTTCTGGCAGTGGTTTATTTGGCAGCAACCCTCCCTGGATCTTCCAATTTCTTTATTTGCACAAGATTAACTTCACAGGCTTTCCCCCTTCGTGCCACATCTCTATTTCTTAAGGCTGCGGCCCAGGCATCCCCAGCTCTGGGGCTAACCGGGGCGTTCTGCACCAGGAGGCAGCAGGTACCGCGGGGCTGCGGCGGCTGCCTGCTCCCCAGCAGCCTTTCACACCCAAAGAGATGCGAGTGACCTCCCTCGTGTTTACTCGGGTGCAGGCGAGGAGTGCAGCAGGGCTGCTACCCCCACACAAACCCACAGTAAGTGACAAATGACACTTTCTCTTTGTGATCTTTGGGATTTTTGTTGACTTATTTGGAGGCTTTTGTTGTGTCCTAAGAAATGGCCTGTGGCTGAGGCCTATTCGACCGATTTCCACGCTCCATCTGTGGTATCCATCAGCAGGGCCTTTGCCCGCATTCAGGGCTCTGACACCTGCCTGGCAGGATGCGGGAGGCACAAAGGAGGCTGCTGCGGACGCGAGGGGAACAAGAAAAGAGGACAGAGGAGAGATTCTGATACCCTGAGTTTCATCCTGCTAGGTCACAGTCCAAGATTTGTTAGCAGTTGGACCCCTCTTCTTTAAGAGCAAAAGGAAAA